TTTTAAATGTATTTATTTATTTAAAGGTTCATTTATCTATTTCTGCTTTTATTTCTAATTATGTCAGTGTCGGTCCTCCATACTGCTGAACATGAAGAGGTGGTTCAGTGATTGAATCAGGTGTGTTGGAGCAGGAAACATGTAAAACATGCAGGGCTGCGGCCCTCCAGGACCAGGATTGCCCACCCCTGGGTTAGGCCCAATTCTTTGATTTTTTTAAAGACCTGACCAAAACAGCTCACTCATTTCTCGATGTAAAATTAAAACTGATGCATAAAGGCGGCGGGTGATGTGCATTCTGTCAAAGACTACTAGGTCATTTAACAGGAGTGGATTAACCCTCTCAGGCCTGAAGAGGGGGCTTTTAATTCCCTGATCATGTTAAGCAGCTGCAGGAAGTGGGTCAGAGCAGCACACAGCAGCATTTTCACCTTTCCCCCTGATTTCTCCAGCAGGCCTTCCCTGCGTCCTGTCAGGCCGGCTGGAGTTAGTGATCACCATAATCCTGATGATGGAGATGGAAACGATGACAGCAGAAATGATTTAGGGGCAGATGGGGCTCACCAGGGTGATGTCAGACTATTTTCTGATGCAATATTACATAATTTTATGCCAAATGCAGCACAGAGCATCAAATAAAACCCACAGTGCTGAATAATGTCAATCTGAAAATGAATTTCTAGACCTTTTTGGGGGAGACTGGACTGCCTCAAATGATTTTCTGCAACCTAATAATTACAAACATGTCACTGTTTGGCGTAGGACACATTATTTATTTATTTAAGCCTGGTTGTTTTTGCCTGCAGTGGCAAACCTGAACGCGGTGTTTCCTCAAACATCAGATCCTGCTGCATCACAATAAGCGGACGCTGAACAGAAAGCAGGCAGGACGACAACAAGGCTTTAATGATGGAGTCTACGGGAGGAGGGCACGGTGAGCTGGGTGTGGGGAATTTCAAATGCTGTACGTACACTCACCCCAGCTGTCTCTGTCCGGACGGTGCTTCGCCATGATTACAGTCCTTTAATCCCTCGGATCGTTCGTCAATGAGCAGCTGTGGTCGGCAGGCATGAGCGTGTGGAGCAGGTAAGGGTCAGGATGCCCCGTGCCTCCAGCACAACGACGCTCCTTCCGCAGCAGGACGAGGGTTTGTTCCCGGCGCGATGCAAGTGACCGCCACCAGGGGGYGCTGCGGCTTTTCCATTAAAACGAACTGAAACGGTCCCTGGCCGCCATCTTGTCAGGTGCTAACGCCTATTAAAATACGATGGGACAGAAAGCATTAAAAACGAGTTTGTATTATTTTGTAAATCAATAAAAAAAGTTAATACAGCCCCAGCAATCAAACTGTGCTCATATATTTCAGAATTTAAACCCGTTTATTTCATTATCACTGTCTCTTAATTTTATTATTTATTTGAAATGTTGTTGAAGTTTTATGTATTCATTTATTTATTTTATTTTTGTTTTTAATATTTGATTTTTTTCCCCTCTTGTTTCTTCTAACATTTCTAAAGCGGTCAATTAACTTGTTTAACACTCGTAGTAATTTGGTAAAGTTTTCATAATTTGATGTTAAGGAGGATTTACTTAAAAATATCCTGATGCATCTCAGTAATCCAGGTAAAAAAATCAAAAAGAAAAAAAGTGTATAGGTCTTCTGGAGGGGCAAAAATTTTGCCTGAAACTCTCAGACTGAAGAAGTCTCTTGGAGGAGAGACAAAACGTTTCATTAGAGAAGAACCCGTCCAGAAGACCTATACAATTTTTTTTGATTTTTTATTTTTTAAATAGATAATTTAGAAAGATGTTAGGTGAAATGGTCGTTAATATATGTATGTTTTCTTTGTCTTTGTATTATTATGTTGGTTCATTAATAAAAATAAAAAAGTATGATGGGCTCGTCCTTCCTGCACACTGAGTGAGTTTCTGAATAAGCACGTAGAAATGGACTGAAATCACTTTTTTTGTTTAAATCATTTGTCTCTTTAAAATCTGCTTCAGCATACTTTCTCTATTTTTGTGTGTTGTTTTTAGCTGAGTTATTGTTCTGCTACTTTTAGCTACAGTGTTTTTAATTTTAGTTTAGCCAGCTTTTGGCAACTTTTGACTTTGAGTTAGCGTTTTGGTCACCTTTTAACATAAAGACAGCCTTCTGCTACTTTTTAGTTTCAAACTTCTAGCTTATTGGTTTGCTAAGTACAAATACTTTGTTACTGTACTTAAGTAGAAATTTTGATTATCTGTACTTTACTTGAGTAATTATTTTTCAGCGTACTTTTACTCATTACATTTTTACACAATTATCTGTAC